GGCGCCCATCTCGCGCATGTAGCCGGCAACCTGGCGCTGGAGATCGTACTCGAGGACCTGAGCACGCTCCATGGCCTTGTCCATGGTGAGACCGGAGATGTCCCAGCCGCCGAGGACGAGGTCGTTGGGGTGGACCATCGGGAGCAGGTCCGCGAGCGGCGCATAAATGTCCTTGTTGTTGGCGTCGAGGCCGAGGCGCACCGTCGACGCGCGGAGCAGCGAGCCGAGGTAGTTGGGCGCCTGAACGCCCGACTTTGTGTGCCACGCGATGTTGTGACGGTTCGCGAGGATGGTCGCCGTGAGCGTCGTGCCGTTGTTGCCGCCGAGACCGACCATCATCAGGCTGTCAAAAGAAACGCGTCGCGTCAGTAAAAAGGCACGTGGGCGCGAAATGATAAGATAAATTGAGAACCCACCCGGTCTTGGGCACCTTGCGCGTGGTACGGAAGTCGTACGCGGTCTGGTTCGGCTGGATGAGGTAGCGGCCTTCCTGCTGGACGACGACATCGGCGCCGCGGTTGACAAAGCGGGAAGTGATGTGTTCCTCGGTGTAGGTCGTGTTGGGGCCCTGGACGGTGATCGAGTCCGTCGGACGGCGGGCAGCCGTGGGGTGAACGGGGAGGTTGAGCGGCGCGTCGAGGACAGAGCCCTCACGGGAGACGTCGCCGGACGAAGGGGTGGTGTTGGGAGCCATAGTGGGTTTAAGATTTATAGAGGATAAAAACAGCAGAGAAAAGGCGATTTAATGTTGTGGAAGCGGGGGCGCAGCGGTGTGCTTGTGACCTCTGTGCGGATTGTGTGTGCTCGACAGCTGGTTTGAGAACATGCACCGACGGGTGGATACGAGGTAACGATGAACGTTGGGAGAAAAAGAGTGCCTCCTTGACCACGGCTTTTATACGATTTGGACTTGGCCGCACGGATCGATGGGCGTCTGCGCGCGCCCCTCGTTGGGCCCTTGATTGCAAGGCGCGCGTCTGATCTCGAACGTCGACTCGAACCACCACCTTCCGCATTCTGCACCCTCCGTATCTTCCCCAACGGAGCCCCTCACTGCCCTCCGCCGTGCCAGCTGGCTCCATTGAAGCGCTCAGAGCTCACATGTATCGATGTGCGGGAAGCTATTCGAGTATCCTGTCTTCACAGTAGCCCGGTCGTGAGATACAACAACTCTAATATATTTGCCTCCGTTCTTCGACACATGTGTACCACGCAAGATGCCCCGGAACGTTTCTGCAACGCGCCCTTCCTTACGTGGGCATTAGTGCGACGCGTTGCCTCGAGCCATGTCTGCCTATCACTATTCATAAACCATATACTTGATTGAGAACTTGCAGAGCAAGGCGCCTCGTGCGAGCGCTAGCCCAGTATACTATCGTGATACCTTGCCGCCCGGGAGCCTGCAGGTATACCGGCGCGCTCAGGTGGGTCGCCCGCCGATTAATTCGATGTCTGAGCCGCACACTCCGTCCGAGGTACGACCGCAGAAAGTCAGCGCGCTTGACCGATTGCCTCAAACAATATGCTTCTCTGGAGCCTGTTTGCCGGTGTCGCCAAACGTCTAGCGTGGACCGAAAGATTTTTGTGCTCGACGATCAAGTGGGGATCTCCTCGTGTCGTCGGCGTGCTCGTTCCCGTATTGAAAGCTACATTTCCTTCTGACGAAGTACTCAGAGATTGATCAGACATACGAGAGCCAGTTAATCTGGCCAACTTGTGCACCAATCACCTCATACGTTGGCACGAACGCGAAGCCTTCGTGGCGTGTGGAACAGAGACTATCTCAGGCGCCTGCATTTTTACGGGGTGAACCACCCAGCGTCAATTCCAGACGCGCACGGTCGGGCGCCTTTTGGATACCTCACGTTCTCTCACGAGAGTATATGCTTCAACTTCCTGCTATAAATCGCTTGAAAGTTAGCGCAGTGACTCTTTCTCAGACCTGACTTCTAGCGTCCTAGGCCTGGTCCATGGACCTGCCTCGCCGCCGACGCCGACGGCTGAAAGAGCCGCAAGAGATACCGTCCCTCCTCCCCAAACTGGCGTCTACGCACCCGCGGTTACTTTTCGATGGTGTGGTGATCGCTCACGCTTTCGCGCCAGTTCAGTGGTCCAGCAACTAATCCCGAACACTGCCATATGAACAAGAGAATGTTCGCCAATTTCATCGATCTCTTATTCGACTGAGCGTCGCAGATTCGACTGGCCGAATGATCACATTCCGACACGCCGCTTTGATCAACCAGTGTACTTGAACATGAAGGTCTTGACTCGAATGCTCGTTCTTCGAATAGTCCTTAAAGCAGTGTGTCGGCTTTACACCTTGAACTCGTTTAGCTCATAAGAGCTCGTCATCGTCCATATCGTCTTGCAAATTGTCAATCATTGATCACTCGAAGAAAAGAATTGGACTCACATCTTCGTCAGGATATGGATCCATGTCACTCCTAATCTCCCAACGCTCCTTCCGAGACTTGATGGCCTCTTCCAAGTACTCCAGACCACCTGGTTCTAAGATTCCTTCCTAGAGATGTGTGCGTGAGATGTGAAGACCGAGTAAAGACAAGTTGCCGACTCACATTCTTAGCTTCCGACGCAGTCCCTTCGAGTATGTCTATACACCCGTACGTGTCCAGACTATACTGATATCTCGATGTTTCGATTATAGAATCGAGCCACGAGACTAGATTTCTCAGAAACAGCATGTCAAGGGTAGCGAGAGTGGCCGGTGGCATCCCCTTTATCAAATGGGGCATCAGGCATTGACAGGCGTACTCCACGACGTTCCCAAACTCGCCGTCAATATCTGGAAGATCAAGGGATGGTGTCATCCCAGGTGAGGGTGGATCGTTCGATTGCACCAGCTTTACGCAGGCGTTGAAAAGCAAAACATTGCTGTCGGGGATACTGATGTATAAACGCTCGGGAGCTCGACCCAGAGTTGTCAAGAACTCTCTGAAGGATGCATGAAGGAGATATACGGAACCACCATTGTCGCTCGTGGGTACATACACCACGGCATGGAGCCCTTGTAATCCCGACCTAAGACGCTGAGCAGATACGCCAAAGAGGTATGCAAGGTTCGCGACATTCATTGGCCATTGCAGAACCACCAGTGCCTGCAGTATTTGATGCATAAAGGATATTTCTCCGACCTCGTACGAGTCTGTATCCATTGCTGTGGCGAGCACTTGGTTGTACATATCGTCCAGATGTTTAGTCATTGGTCTGCCGGCCGAATCGGCTATCAGATTGGCGAGACGCTGTACCGGGTCCTTGCGGACATATTCAAGGGCTGTAGATGCATAGATGAACAATATACCAGAGCGGCTCGCGAGTCTCTCCGCGTCGATGCGAGTGGGCCAGTCCTGAGGAAACACTACGTCTGGCTGCGACTGGCGCATCTCGCTCAGGCGATTAGAGATGAATATCTCGATGTCTGCTTGCACTACATCATGATCTAGGTCGTGTAGTTTCACGATTCTCGCAAATGTCTTCAGAGATTCAAGCTGCCGACGCAGGTGCAGCTCAGGGCGAGAAGTAAGCAAGAATTTTGCTGGTATATGAGGAGCAACCGTGATAAGCTCGCGAAGGAGAGTTTCAGTGGCAGATGGATCCGAGCACTCGTCCAGCGCGTCGATAACGAAGACGACAGGGAGCATGCCAGGTGTGGCCTTGTACACATCTGAGAGCGGCCCTCGCAAAAGCTGGCGCGTTTGCCTGTCAATAGCCTTCGAAGCAGTGTCCAGATCTCGGTTGAGCTCTTCGAATAGAGCCTGTTCGAATAGGGCGTTTGCCTCAGCATACGCATGAGCAAGCGTCGGTACGATCCTTTTGACATCGGCCTTGGTGATCGCCGCGGTCCTGGAGCAAAAGAAGCTACCCGCGAGAAGACCATTTTCTCGGAAGAAATCACAGGCAGACCAAGCTATCGCCGACTTTCCCGTACCCGCCATGCCGCATAGCCAGTAGATCTTCCGGCCGCGTGGGTTCGAGCCCCAGCTATACAAGTCCCTGAGAATGTCGACACGAGTGTTGGTCATACATCCACGCCCATCTTGGGCATGGAAACCAGCATCGGGGACATGCCGAAGCTTATCCAGCATCGCTATGTACGGGTGCATCAATATGCGTGTGATTCAATATGGCGACACAGCAAAGGTCTAACGCACCCAGTCGAAGGAGTTTATCGACGCCCTATCGAGGCGTATCAGTTTGAGTCAACTTATCATCAAAATTACATGCTTACTTGTCGTATGCGGATAGCTTCGGTCTCGACAGAGAGCATAACATCGACCTGTGGGTCAACATCAGTAACTCCCGCGGTAATATGGAGATATCGCGACAAACATTGATGTTCTCTACAAGTTGCGCTACGCAACGAAACAGTTTCTTCACTTCTAAGACGTCCTTAGAGGATTGAAGGTACCGCTGGAATGTGCGCCTCCCAGACTTGACCTCGATCGTGCTCTTGATAAGATTCAAAGCCCTGCCGCAGTTATCAGATCGTTTGAAACGACATCTAGAATATAATTCACGTTGCTATGCCTTCCAGACGCTGTTGGATGACGTCTGGAGTGGGGTTTCCCGCCACCTTTGGGTCGTATCTATCGAGGATACGGACAAGTGACTCGATCCTCTTGGATAGTTCAGCGAGGTCATCAGTCACATCTCTGACGCGCTAATCAGATGAGGTATGAGTGTTGTTCTAGAGGGGAGGCGAAGCCCGAGTCATTGCGCACGTCTACGAGTTCCATAACCTCAACGACGCCCACGCATGCCGCTTTGAGAGGAAGGCACATATCCGATCCATCCCGGATGGCCTTCAGCGCCTGCTTCATAGCTTCCCAGCCGGAGCTTCCCATAATGATCAATAAAACAACGAGTGGACCGCTTGAGAGCTGTAGTGGTGGTTGGGAGTGAGACTTCGTGTGCACCTCGGAAACGCCTCGCCGCACTTATGATGATATCGATCTACGTTGATCAAAGTTAAAGAACAAGGGCACATGGTGTAGTTGGTTTATCACGCCCGCTTAGCAACTGTAAATGCGGGAGGTGTCCGGTTCAATTCCGGATGTGTCCAATGAGGAAGTATTGATTTCTTTCATCTCCCCCCTTTTTTACCTTGCTCTCACACATCACAATAATATGCAGCAGAATTACCCAAGACTTTCAAGCAGGTGGATGACTTTGTGTGTCAAGCGTGTTCTGTTTTTCTTGCAAATACCCTATTAGACATAGAAAGGCACGACATATTCAATGTTTTGCAGCTCATCTCAACCTGGTGCGGCACAACATCGTACTGGTATTCATGGCATAGCAAACTAGCAGCGCATTTATAAAAACAAACGGACATCAGGCACAAACACAGACATGAGGGATGAGGGTGGAAACAAGTACGGGTAGTGTATATACTGGTACTGGATACAGTAGTTGGAGCGTGCGGTGCGTGCAGTTCAGTTCGAGGGCAGTGCGGTATGCGGCGGTATGCAGTGCAGAGTCACAGGTGGATGGAAGGAGAAAGGGCGAACGAAGAATGATGGGATGGTGATCAGAGGCACGAAAGGAGGGGAAAGAGTGATGCGGGGATACAGTTCTGCGGGATATACGGGCGGCCAGCGCCGTCGGCGAAGTCATTCGAAGCGAGGGGTTACCCTAAGTCGTCTCCATTGCGTCGGAGTCAGGCTGTGAGTGGACGGGCATACGAGGTGCCACGGCGCTGGCACTCGCGAGGACATCCATGGCCGACAGCGTATGATCATGCGAAGGTCGAGAAGGCGTGTTTAGAGACATGCGGCGTGCGTCGAGCTCCTCGTCAAGGTCGTCATAACTATCCTCAACGAACTCGCGCCTTGGCGCGGGAAGAGAAGGCGCTTTTGGCGGTGGTGGCAAGCTCAAGATCGGTGGTGCGGGCACAGGCGCAAGCGCAGGTACAGGCGCCAGCGTAGACACTGACGCGCGTTGAGCCTTTGCGCTCTGCCTAGCGGGTGTCTCCGGTGCAGTCGCCGCCATGTTCTTATCGATAAACTCGAACCTCGCAGCGCCGTTCGCGTCGCGGAGAGTACGTATTCCCTTCGAAAGCAACGCATCCTCAAGCGCACGAGGTCCCCCACGAGAGACACGCGCGACGCAGGACGTTAGGTGACGGTGCATCAAGTAGGTCTCCGCGCGGGAGATGAATCCACCGCAGAGGCGGCAGGTGCCCGTTTTGGCCTTCTCGTGACAGTTGAGGATGTGGTTGCGCATGCTGACGACCTTGAGCGTGCGGCCACATGCGCCGCCCGCGTTGCTCTTTCTCCGCGAGGTTGACGATGCAGAGGAAGGAGTCGTGGTAGGAGCATCGGCGTCGGCAGCCGCGTCGTGCCACAAGCATACAGTTGTCTCGCCTTCGATGGCACCTGGCCTGAGCCCGTGCACTTCGCTCAAATGCGCGACGATGTTTGCAGTCAGGGGCTCATGAATGAGGGCACCGCACCCACCAGCCCAGGCGCACTTCACGGACGTGCGACGCGGCGAAAGCGCGAGTAAGAACTTGTCGCCCAGCTCGAGCAATTCCGCTTCAGTGAACGGCGGAGGACTCGAGCTTGATGTCGCAGCATTAGCCAAGGACAAGCGCTTCGTCGATGGACCGGCTTCACTTGATGCACTTGAGGCCATGGAAGCAGGCTTCGCTCTGGGTGGAGTCATTCTAGGTGCCGCGAGTGGCATTTCGGGCGAAGAGGGCGGCTCGTCGTCTTCACGTGTTGACGCAATACTCGGACGGCGACTGCTTGCGGCCATGACCGCGGCATGTGTCGTACCGACCGTCGAGGCGCGAGGGCGGCGCTCCACGGATCGTCGGCGGGGTCTGTAAGCGACGCAGCAAGAAAATATCAGTCAGACGTAAACTTGTGAACGGCGAAGGTGTGGTACGCACGCTTCTGACGCGAGAGAACCTCTGCGCGCGGCATACGTATCAGTCGGCGCGACTTGTGGCTCGGGACGCGTTTGGGAGGGCGCGCCAAAGGTGTAAGTTGCGAAGTCGGCTTCCGGGCCGGGTCCTTGGTGATAGTAGTACGGAGCGGGCGGTGCAGGCGCTGGTACGAAGTGAGTGAAGGGGCCCATACGTGTGTCGGGAGCGTAGGACGGCACGTGAGCCTGGGTGGCGAAGCGCGGACGGTAGAGGGCAGCGTGCGCGGCGGAAGGTGGCTGCATGTATGGATGCGGGTGTGCGACGGGGAAAGCCGAAACCGAGTAGCGCTCGCGTCGGGCGGGCGACGGCGGGCGCACGGCGCGCAGAATCATTCCATCGCCACCAGAGTACAAATGACGCGGGTGGTCGCGCTCGTGTTGTCGATTCCATTCGTGCCGCCGAAGCCGCTCAGCCTCGCACGTATTGCACACTTCAGCGATCAAGTCCTTCCTACTCGGCGTATTAGCACTCGTAAATATTTTGAAGAGCAAGAAGACGCACACGGGCGGCAAAGATAGCTTGCGGTCGGGTCCACTTATGGGTGGCAGGTCTGCAGTGTCGACGTCCATGTCACCGTCTGCGCCCTTTGAAGCGGGCGTGGTCGGAGTCGAGTCAGAACGCGGATGAGCGACGGAGTACTCGTCGTCAGAAGAGGGATAGTCGGGGCGCATAGCAAGGTGATACAAGGAAGACAATATCTGGGGTGGCTCTCTATATAGGAACGCAGTACGTCCACCGCCACGCCTGTGGCGAGTGCAAGTGCAGTCACAAAGGGCCTTTCTAATTGTCTTCACACGGATTTGCGCCCGCGCCCACGTCCCTTGGACAGCCGATCCCAGACACCAGGACCAAGTTCGAGAGAGTGGTTTCCGCTCAGAGACAAGAAACAACAAGACGACCGGAGGAGCCTGCAGACGATTGTGATCAAGACCGGAAGGAAGCGTGGCCACAGGCCCACAGCCGCCATCAGGCCCGCCGCGTGTCATGATTTACCCCTGACGATGGTCCTCGGCACTAAAGTTTATCTTGAGTTCACCTTGCTCTTGCCCTTTCACCTTCTCCCATCCCATTCACGCCACACGATGGGCCGACGATAACCGCGCCTGTGCCCCTTTCACAGGTGCCACCGGCCCTTTCTGTGTCGATCTTCTTGCTCAGAAGGAAGAAGCAGGAGAAGCGGCGCAGACGGCTGTAGCTCGCTCAAAGCGTCCGTTAATTCTGCCGGCGGACGGCCCAAGGCAATCAGAAACGTGCTTTAGCCTCGACCGCCATAAGCGGCCGCGTGGTGCGGCCACATGTCGTGGACGCGGGCGCTGCGTCTCCTTTGTTCTCTTACTTTGGACCCGTCAGGACAGCGCCAGCCCCGGTGGTTCTCCATTCTACGGTAGAGTCCTCGGGACCACACAGGATTGTCTTGTAAGCGCCCTGGAACCCCAGCGGGGAAGTTACCCCGACGGAACCGCGCCATTGCGCAAGCGCGCGTCAACCTTTGTTCGCGCCACAAGCTTCGTTCTACTTGCAGACGCCGGGCAGAGGGGATGAAAGGCAACCAGTCTCATCTTCAAACACTGGAGTTGATTCTGCTCTTTCAATAAACCTAGGACACTTCCTCTGATCCAGAACCTAACAGCAGCTACCTGTCGAAGTATCGGCAGTGGTCTTGAGATCGGTGTGGACCGAGCGTTTACCCTTATACCGGTTCGCGGCGGCGATGCCGTTGTGACCTTGACACCTGCGATATATGTGCTCCTCAAATGAGCATAAAACTCGCGCATTCGACTCCAGACTCCGCCTTGACAATGCTCACTACGTGTCGTCCTGTTCGTGCGTACTACTGGCACTGCCGGAAGCCGGCGGAGTCTCAACTCACTTGTGCACCAAGCGACGACCGATGCATTGCGTATCTCTGCATTAGAACCGATGCCAACCTTGAAGTAGTCTACTCACCAGCAGTTTCGAGGAACAGCAGATGCGTTCCCGCATGGCTTTTCCAGATGAGTGAAAGGCCATGCTTCAACCGTCTTACTCGGTGTTCAGATTACAATAACCTGTGTCGCCGGTGTTCAAGTTCGCGCCACGACCAGCAGAACGTACTTGCAGATCAAGACGAAGCCTTGAACCAGAACCCGCTGTAACCCACGAGCCTTATATTTCGATCTCCGCCCGGTGACATATCAGCCTGCCTTGGCTTGCAGGCGAGTGTACTAATGAGCATGATGTGCCCGAGTATGGTACTAGATGCCGCCGGCCAACACTTCAACAATGCTCCGCGCCGAACACCGAACCTTCTTGCTGTATCCAATCCGTCTCCGACTTGATCTGCGTTTTGTTCGCCTAATCTCGTGGGTATTGGGGCGAGGAACGAACTGAGCCACGGCCGTGCATCTCTATGCGCAAGACGTTCTGTAGTATCATGATTCGACGGGTTGGGCAACCCACTGTCAAAACTTGGATACGATGTTTCCTGTAATATGCGTACAGATGACTAACCTTTTACGATGTCTACTGTGTCGAATTTCGCTCGTAGAACGTTCTTAGCTTGTTCTCAGCTTGCCAGCGTACATGCCTCGAATGTATGTCTCTGGATACTAATCCATATGGCATAGACCTACGCATCTGCATTTTTGGGTACTTGAGACCTACGTGAAGAGTTCCGGAGGATTCGTACACTATAGTCAGTGATCATGTGCCGGGTGTTTTGCGCCCTGCGGGAGTGTATACTTATCTCCTTTCAGCAGGGCCGATGTCGCGAAGTTGCGCGATACGCTCCCAACAGCGGTAGGACTTCCAGTGCGCTTCTGTGCATCTCCAACAATGCCTTCGTTCTGTTACGATCTACAATTCACACCGGACGAGTCTCTGTGTGAGAAGCGGTCGCTGACCCTCGTCTATACCATTCGTACCCAGGTTCTAGGTATCATCCCCACTGCAAGATATGCTCTGCTTCACGTCGAAGGCGTAAGTAGAGGGTTTCGTAAGTCTGCATTTCGCGTCTTCCTGCTAGAAGCAATGACCTCGCTCGTTCGGTTCCCGTATGTCCTATGGTCTGCCAGGGTAGCAACCCCATCTGGGTTGCTCAGGCTCACTTGTAACCTGAATCCTCTCGTGGCCAGGATTGTATAGCATTCTAT